TTTTTTGGTACCGGGGATGGAACTCAGGGCCTTGTGCTTTCGAGGCAGGTGATGGAACCACTGAGCTAAATCCCCAGCCTCATAGATTCTTAACCTCTTTGGACTTAGGAACTTATTTGAGAATCTGATGAAACTTATGGATCCCTACCTCAGAAATATGGAAACATACATGCACAGAATTCTACCCACAATTTCTGTGGATTCATAGGTGCTCCTTATATTAGTTAGGGTTCTTGAGAGAATCAGTAGAAAATATGTGTACAGTTATGTGAGGGGTTCATTAGGTAGCTCACAGGATCAGGGGCAGGAGAGTCCACAGTGGCTGTGCACACGCTGGAGAACTGAAGGATCCAGGAGCTGCTCAGCCCAAGAAGCTGGAAGCCACAGAACAAGAGGGACCAAGGATGCAGCACTGGCTCAGGTTGAAGGCCTGGAAGCTCCCTGGAAAGAAATTGCTGCGAGGTTGTGGTGGAAGCTTGAAGGTTCCGGGGGCAGATGTCCAAAGGTGACAGCAGCAAAAGACACACCCACTCAGGAAAACGAGTTCAAACACAGGCACGCTCCTTTCTTCTTGCCCTCTTTTGGTCCATTTAGTTGATTAGTGCTGCCCATAACTGGAGTGGGTCTTCCCCTGTCAGTTTGCTAGCCCATATCTGTCACCCACACACCCAGAACTGAGCTGTGGCTTTTGCGAGGTGTTTCTTAAACCAGTTGAGTTGACACCACTACGAACACTCACCTCAAAAGCCCATCAGACTAAGGACTCCAGGTCTATAATCTTCTTGATCAATTCATCCGCCAATATTTGGTGATACTCATGACTCTGTATTTCCCAGGGAGTCTCTGTCCTCTATCCCAGGTCCCTTCTTTCTACCTGCTTCTGTGTGACTCTACCTGGATGCCCTAAAGAAACTCAAATTCAGTGTCCAAAATCAAGCCTGCCATACACACTTCTTCCCTGATGGGCAGAAGCTGGGTAGAATTGTTCACCGCACTGAGCAGGAATCCGGAGTAGGGGTGGGAATGAGGCTCTGCTCATCTACACTTGGAATGAGCCAGAGAGCAGATCTAAGTCAGGCCACAAAAACAATTCAAAGGCCTGGTTGCTAAACTCTGAAAGTGAGTGGAAAAGCAGACTCAAGTATGAATATGAAAACCTGAGTAGACCACATGAGAAAGAGTAAATAGTCAGAAGGAAGGCAGGTCTTGGGGTACAAAACCCAAGTAGCAGATAAGAAGAAATTTGAAGTGTGGGTTCAATCCGCGAGACGTGCAGTAAGAAGCTGCAGCAGTTGAAATTTCTGTACTTGCACGGAAGGTAGCCGGTAATGCATACTCAGTTTCCAGGTTCTGATAACCAGCAAAAACAGCTTCTTCCTGTCCTAGCATTCCTATTTATCCAGTCATCCAAGTTAGGCTTATTTAATCTTGCAGATGACAGGTAAAAATTCTTGAGTAGCTCCACTCTTAGTACAGATAAAGTCCAGATTTGTTAAGAATGACATTTACTTTTCAAAAGATTTGGAGATTTTTTTTTTTTTTTTTTGGTACCAGGGATCGAACTCAGACCTTGTGCTTGTG